GGGCGAGAGAGAAGGCTGTTGGAAATTTGGAACCAACAAACTTCAGGGAAAGGTTTTCAGTTTTGACTCATTTTTCAGCTATTGATCGTAAGCGTATCACGCAGTGATCAGTTCAACTATATCAGTTAGAGGCTCAGTAAAATAAAAAAACTACAAAATTACACAAAATTTGAAAAAACGTATGTGCAACGTAGAAAAGAGAGCAAAGACTCTTTAACATCGACTATAAATTACAAGAATGCATGGTTACAATGAACAAGTATCAGTAATATCAATCTCACCTATTCTATTTAGTACGTCTGTTCTATTATTGGACTTTTCTAAGTGCTGTGTGACTTTCTCTTGGTAGTGACGACTGTGATTTAATTTGATTACAGCTTTTGAAGCTCCAACATTAGAGGACCTCTTATTGGAAAATAAACTCAAAAGCCACCACTGAAATGATCTAGTTTTAAGTTTACTAAAATATACTAGCCTTCACAATCGAAAAAATATCCGGTACTTTATTTCAGTTTCGGCAAAATAGTACTGAAAAGACATCGTTTTTAAGCAAGTGAATTAAAAATCTGATGGCCGGAACATAGTGCCAATCACTTTGAAAAAAAAATTATTAATAAAAAAATAACAGCTCTTACCTCATTTGACAGTCGATGAAATTGTCAAGAATTGCCATCTCACTTTGTTACAAAGTGCTGTAAGTTTTGGGGCAAATAGGATCGTTGGAAAATGTTTTAAAATAATTTTGTCATATTTAATTACCTCTAGTGTAACAAAAGACACAAATTTGCGTCAACCGAGCATTTGAATATTCTGAACGTTTTCAGTATCGTCCAAAAGAGAAAGAGAAGCCTCAGCTGCCTTTCTTCCCGGAAATTTCATATCATGTTCCGATCCAAAGACTTCCCATGCAACTCCCTCATTCATCAGATACAATGAAATATATGAAGTTCATATATTGAACTGCGGTATTACATACGTATGATGCCCGATCCTCGCAGTAGATAGCGCTATTTAAGCAATAGCGAAAATCAGACCTGAAAAAAATCAGGCCTGTACGGGA